ATATATATATATATATATATATATATATATATATATATGTATATGTGTGTGTGTGTGTGTGTGTGGAAGCATCTAAGCAACGCCTATGAACGAAAAGCTATAGTGATTTCGCCCATAGGTTAATCGCCGTCCAAAAAATAGGACGTCGTGCGTTTTTCGACCGCCACGGACCTAGCATGTCCGTGGCGGGTACCGTCACGGGCATGCTAGGTCCGTGGCTGTCCAAAACTTCAAGTGGAACTGCAATGGAAGTTGCCATCCGTTGCAAGTCCATTCAATAAACCTCCACGGAGGTGAAACACTGTAGCACTTCGCCTATAGGCGTTTTTTAGGTTTTTCCTACGTATATATATAATAAGAAAGTCATTTTATCATGATGGTTCATTGTTCCAGATAGACATTAGATATTTGTAAGATGGGCTACAAGATTTTAATTGGAGCACAATTTCTTTCCACAAAACTCACTACTTTTTAAGGTTTAGATTGAGAACTGAGAGGAGGAGGTTGAACTGATGTGTTTATCGCCTAGATAAGGAGCCTAGTGTAAAAATATTTTTCATGTTTTCATAGGAAAAGTTATTACTGTCTCAATGTTTTCTTTGTGGGTGAATGTCAAATCTTTTTCTTCACCACCAGGCATGGTTTTTTTTCATTCATGAAAACTTCTAGGTTTGCTTGCCTATAGAACAAAATGGAAATTGTGGAACTCAATAACGAGAAATCAAAGTTACGCACCATGAGAACACATTCATCCAAATTCATAATCTATGATTACTAGTACAGTAGACCTGATACGTATAGTGGTCATATCTAGATGATCTAATACTCGATCTCTTGCAACAACCCGCAAGACTCTTTACCAGAAAGTGCAAAATTAGATGTGAACTATTTGTGGTTGATCTATACTTGAGAATTCAGAAATGTTAATTTATAAAGTATTTAGGTAGTCTAGGTTAGGCCCAAAGTTTTTGAAAACTTAAACCTTCTGGCTAATGAAAACAATCCCTTTCTTAATTATTCAGGTCTTCAGCGAATCCGCAATTGTTGAGTACAGCATCCAGGAAAATGCAGCAACCGAAAGGAATGGGGAGGTCTTTCTCTCTCTCTTCATTTCTATTTTCTCCCTTTCTTAGCAAGCTGGGATGGTAAGAGCCTCTCACAATCCAATCCAAGTAATAATGCCACAACCTAATTAACCCGGAGTAAAGTATACGACGCTTTAGAAAAAAAATTGCATCAAAATCTCTAAGGAAACAGCATGTAGTTATTGATAACTAGATTCCATCTGTTAAAATTTCCAGAGCTTCCAAATTGGATCCACTGGATCTTGATCCCTTAGTTTTAAGGGAAGTATGGTATACACTGTGGTGGCTGTTAAGTACTACACCATAGGGGAGTTTATTTTATTTTTCCCCTATGATGGACATTGGAGATCAACCATACTTCAGAAAATGCTCATCAGTGAAACTCTGGTTATGTCTGCTGTCCATCATCTGGAATGCATGGTAGATGCCATGTGATGTCCCATATGCCAAACCTGTATGCCAATGGAGTAGTATGGAGTAGTGTATACTCTCCCTTAAGGCTACATAATTTCTTCATATAATTCAGTCTTTAAGTGCATGTATGATTACAGATATTGATGGATAACAAGCAGCATTATAAATTCATGGGGAAGAATGTGGAAGTAATTTCTCTCATCAAGCTCCGGATCAAGGATGGGAAGGTTGTTTGCCACGAGGACTGGTATGTTCTATGCATATCGAATCTTTCATTTTGTCATTATGTAAAGAAAAATATATTCTGCATCTATCAAATGGTTCTTAAGTACTAGAAACTTCAACTCGAAGTCTGTTAGAAACTAAAATGGGGGAAATGATAAATTATCTAAATGTTCTAACTACCACAAGTCATCCAAAGTTGGACACTAATGGATGTGCATGTTCTGTGTGTGTGTGTGTGTGTGTGTGTGTGTGTGAGAGAGAGAGAGAGAGAGAGAGAGAGAGAGAGAGAGAGAGAGAGAGAGAGAGAGAGAGACGATATATATATATATATAGTAGTACGTACTTACGTTAGTTACGTTACGTTACGTTACGTAACTAACGTTAACTAACGTAAGTTAAGTAAC